GTCGACAGTTCGACAGGAGCAGCTCGAGCAGCTACGGATGAAAGCGTAGCCGCGAGGCGAGAGCCGCTTGGTACCGCAATCAATGTTCGTCCTCCCTGTTGCATTACACGCATACCAGATCCAGCACCTACCACTGTTCTAATGGGTGCACTACGAACGGCTCCCGATGAATTAGGCGAAGTGGCTCCGGAAGCCAGCATGCGCCCAGGATGAGAAGCCCCTGTACCCAACACTGTACGCACTTGGTGGTTCGACATGCGCATTGAGGATGTTCCTGAACCAGCAGACGATCCACGTACAACTCGAACTCCCGGAGGAAGGCGAGGTTGATGAGGCGCTTCCCGAACCGGTGTGACAGTGGACATAATGCGAATAGGAGTCGAAGCGCCCAGATTTTGAGAGGGCTGATTGTCGCCGACATCGGGCTTTACCATACTCTCTTGCATTGAACCAATGGTCGTGACTGGTTGTGGAGAACCTGAAACGCAATGAATAAAAAAATTATACCACCATTTTGCATGTGCAGTCCTGAAATACAGTCGGAAAATATCTTTAGGTTAGAAATACTTCATCTTATGCATTTAAGTAATGAAATGTCAAAATTTCTCTTAAACATTTCCATGCGAACATGAAGCAAATTTCTCGAGCATTCACTTTTAACTGTATCCGTTATACGTATTGACCTTATTCGGGCTCCCTCATGGGAATAAACGACTGTGCACCAACCATGAATGTACCGCAGCGTGATATGTTAGAATTTTGCATTAAGCTCTGTATTCTTCGTTAAAGATCAATCGACTCACATTCAGGTGATCCTTCTGACGGTCCTGGTGCCTCCATGGCATTCAGACGCAACTGACGAATCAGTACTAAACAAGAAGCATTGCTGGTTATAACTTACTAATCTACCGAGCAAAACGGTCGTAATACTTATGCACTGAGCAGTTTCTTATTTAAAAGGAAAAACAAAAATGGGTTGTACAATAAAGTGGTTTTACAAAAATTAATCGTAAATGAGGAACTCACAAAGGGAATTACGTTTGAAAATTCCAAATAAAAATAACCGTATTTCACAGAAAATTTCCAGGACACAAATCAAAGACCCTGAGAGTACTGGGGGAGCGGTAAATATTTTTAGTCAAACTCAGGACCTCCCAGAAGGAAAAACACCGATCAACATCCTATGTGTAGTATTCAGTATTTGGGGCCACCGCCCAAATCCCCTGCAATGCCGTAATTGACTTGTTCTACAAAACTTTCGTCTTCAATGTATTCATTGACGCTGATGTCTAATCCCAAACGCTTATTTTTTGCATTAAAAAAGATATTTCCCCCTCAACCGCGAAACCCCTAGAAATAAGAGCAAAGGGATGAGGGGAAATACAGTAAAAATCCCGATTGAGTAAGCCAATAAAAATACAAAGGTCAACCTTATTCTAACGAACAAATTTTATAAAATAAAATTACAGTGCCATTTCCAAATTGATAGCACCAAAATGGAAATTTACCTACCTCAAATAGAACCTGGGAACTCCAACTGAAACCAGGTCTTCAGGATGCTATCCGTAGCAGAAGCTCAGGCAGGTTCCGAGTCACTGTAATGCTTACGAGTTTGAAAAAACTAGTTTCTTTGAAGAAACTAACAGAAAAGTCCTACTTTCGTGGCCATTTGGGCTACCCCAGATGCCTCCGAGAATTCGGAAACGGTCTGGGAATTAGAATAAAGCCCAAATCAGTTCCCATGTCTTCAATTTGGCACTGAATGTACATATAACGAAGAATAATTTGAACCTCACCTGAATGCTCGTTCTACGGTACGGTTTGCCTTTGTAGAGGTCCTAAGCTCCTGAGTAGAAATTGGAACGCGACGCTCACCCGCTTCGCATGCCCCGACGCTGCGTCTCCGACTTTTCCATACTCTTTTGTCCGTGGCTCTTGTTCCCTGCACTTAACTGGAACTCACCACCCATTGAAAACGTGGCGCCCGGGAATTGCCCTCTGCTACTGCTGGGAGGACGGGGCGGGGGTTTCACTGGGAGGTTTTAGCGCAAGGTATGAGAGCGCTTTTGCGCGGATAGCGATCGGAGCAGGGCCAGGGATTACCTCTCAGGAAGATCGCATTCGAGGGTTGCGGAGAGGTGGGGGAGGGGGTTGTATTTAGGGGTGGAAGAGCCGCACTGTATAGTTGACTTAATAGACTTGAATTGGTTCTCCAACTATTTGCCCTCAGAAGTACTTCTGACGCTATAGCGGTACTCTCATTGTGGACCAACGCCTTTCCGGAATACGCCATGCCTTTGACATCACTCGAGATGCGTTGCACCTTATAGATAGTTTCCCACTGAATGTTTAGTCCGTACAATGGCATCTAAATCAAATCCAATGAACAGAATACGGCTTCCTTCCAAGCAGATGTAGGTTGCTGGTGCTTGAAGTTAGCTAGAGACCTGTCAGTCTCCTTGCCTACCTAGCTCAACTCAATTGTCGTTTCTTAAAGATGTTACTGAAGAATGAAGAGCCCGACATAGGACCCTCTGAGAAACTTTCTGTTCACTAAGCGTTGATATTTCTGTAAATGAATGATTTCCGGTGATTTCACTGATTCATATGAATAGCCTTAATTGTTCATTCAACTCGATTATTTAGAAGGATAGCCCTTTTCTCACGTTGGCCCAGTGTAGATGTAACCTGTAACGAGGATTATCAGGAGGTTTCCTAATTCCAAACGTACAAAACCAATATCACTGACCTGTACAACGACTGACAACGTAACCTATAGCAGAGGCAAACACCCGTATAGAGCCACTATAATTTCGAATAGGACTTGATTGTTCAGGCTTATTCTCAATCAGGGTTGATCTCCTTCAAAAAGAGAACTCGGTCTCACATACTAATAAATAATTCAGAAAACCTCTTTAAAGGCTTTCACCATGAATCAATCTCGTCCAAGGGACGCGCGTTAGTTTGGTTCCTTCATTTGTTTAGACGGATATAATGCGGGAATCGAACGAGTGACCATGTGTGTGAGATAGTGCGCCACTTGCCGCTACACCACCTCTGCCCTTTTCGGAAGGAATAAACAAATAGAAAAAAAATTGAAATCCCATTTGGAAATAAAGGGTGAAAGTCCAAGTATTAGTCGCTGATCAGTCCCAATGAGATTTAGGATACGCAATATTAAATCAAAATGGAACATTCCCACTGGTAATATAGCATGAATAAGTTGCCTTTCTCCTCCCCATAAGGTCCAAATGGTTCCCTATCTAGTTTGATAGGATTTGTTGTGCAGTAGGGACATATTGAAATTGCCAGCTTATAGTTACGTTGAATGAGATGGGCAAAGGCATATGACGATGCCTCTAATTAGTTTTCACCCAAATGAAAAACTTGATCCTCTTTCGGTCACCCCTACTCCCCAGTTAAGACTAACATCAGACGCAGTACCATGATTCATAATATGTTTTCTAACGAATTCTTTATTTTTGACCAGTTTCGATTCTATCTCAACAGTGAGCTGTAGGATCCATCTA